TACGATTCTAGAAGAATATCGTATCGATATCTATGAATATCGATAAGCGTTCCTTGGCTTAAAGATTGTAATGACACATGGCATGGCATAAAAATAATAAAATCCTTTTTGACAGCTCCGCCAAGCAAATCGGTTCCTTCTGCCTTAAAATTGGAATAAAAGTGAGTTTATTTGCTGATTAATATATTATTTGATTGTAGAACTTAATTTGAACGTTGCCTTTTTTCAGAGTTCTCGAAATGGAAAACGAAGCTGGAGATTTTGTCGACTTGTACTGCCCCAGAAAATGGTAAGCATTTATAACCTCACAACACGTGTTTTTTCTCTTTATTTTTACGTACTCCAGTTGCAAAATTCTCAAATTAATTCGTTTACAGCGTGAAATAATCACCATTCTGCCCATTGGCTATATTATAAAACCCAAAGATTCCTGGGTGAACCCTTGAGGTTATGCTAAAAATTATTTTCCGCAAGCAAGTCCATAAGAAAATGTTTATAGCTGTAGAAGCCCTAACATAAATCTAATCTTTGGGACTTTTTTAAATTCAAATTATCTGAGATTTATTTGATTCAGTGCCTACTTTGATTAACATTATCTGGCCTAAATGTTTTAGGAAAATGTTGAAACAATTTTCATATTGGTTTTAAAATGCAGTTAATCTTATCTAATTGAAGAAATTGTAAAATTCGAGCCAATCCCCTTCTCAACTTTTGACATAGTTTAATGCATAACATCTATTCTTATCAGCCTTTTATCACAAATACTTCCTTTTTATAAAATCATTTTTCAGGCAACCTTGCAGTGGACTAAAATCCATTCACATGTTTTGAACAAGCAATATGTTGGGGCTATGCTAAACATTTTACCCTCGATTTTACCTAATATTATTTAGTGGGTATAACCTTAACCTCCAACAACAACAGAATAGCTATAGAGACAACCAGACCTGTAACTTTTTTTAGGCCCCATAAATACTTTATTATCACACTAAAGGCTGGTTCATGCATGAAAATATTTTCCGTTTCCGTAACTTAGTCGCTATCTATATCCGTAAGTAATGTATAAGTTGCATGTATTTATATGCAGGTGTTCATGCACATTACTTGGGAAATAATATTTATAACACCCTGATAAAACCCAACAAACCGTTCGCAGTTTCCCATACACGTCAACAATGTCATTATTAAAGACTGATAAAAACTCTTAATTTTTGGTGCATGAAATACCTCAAATTTTACGGAAAAAGAAAAGCTTATGCATAAGGAAAAAGTTAAAGAAACAGAAAAAGAATTTATGCATGAACCAGCCTTAAATAAATAAATATTTTTTAAAAATGTAAAATTTCAGTAGGTATTTGGGCTATACTTAATAAATATCAACCATTTTTTTTGTAGCTCTGCATCAAACAGAATTATTCATGCTAAAGACCATGCTTCGATCCAAATCAGTCTTGCCGAAGTAGACCCAGCTACTGGCAGAATGACAGACACATCTAGAAACTACGCCCTGTGTGGAGCTATCCGCAGAATGGGTGAATCAGACGACTGTATTGTCAGGCTGGCAAAGAAAGATGGTCTTGTTGCCAAGTGAGTTTTTATTTATTATTGTGAGTTGATCCGAAATGGTATTAAATTATTGGTTGGCATTTCAATAGAGTTGTGCACTTCAATCTAGTTAATTTGAGGCTCCTGGCTCCTGATTGGTGGTTTAACCTTAGAATGCTGTTGTATGTATTTTATTTGCAGAAGCTCTTCAAATTCACAAAAGAGTTCCCATCGCCATGTCCTGACAAACTGCTTCTTCTCATTGAAATTTGTAAAATAGAGCACTACTTGAAAAAAACTTGAGAAATTAATATGAATATAAGATGTTATTTTAGACATGAGGAATAACTAGAGTAAGAAAATCAAATACATCAGTATTGAGAAAGCAGAGTAGTAAATTGCAGGTTGAAATTAATATTCAGATTAAAATGCCACAAAGGATTTTATAGGTATTAATATACCTACCATTTATATTGAATAGGTATTTCATTTATATATGTATATAATATTCGCTTAATTTTTTAGCATCTCTTTTTTCAATATTTTTTATGTTAGAGTCAGTTTCACAGTTAAGGATAAACCACCAACTGTTTTATTAGCACAATAATGGGCTCTTTCACTAAAATTTAAATACATAATTTAGGTATAAAATCCCAAAGGAGGGACTATTTCAGGCACATATACCAAAAAAAAATTTTCTACAAGGTTAAATAAGTTTTTTACAGGCATTTTAAACTACCAAAATTTGAATTATTTAAAAACGCGCCGATTTGCTGACGTCGCATAAATATTTTTCATTTCGCTTGTTGCAAACAGCTGTCCGCCTCTGCTGTATTTATCCTGTAGTAAATGCAGGTAAAGGTTCGAATGCGCTGTTGTCGGTGGTGACTAAATGTAGTGCAACGTAAAATAAATAAATAAAACTAAACATAGAAAATTATATTAAATTGTGTTTAAGCATAATTTCAATAAAAATGTTATAAAATCTTGAATTCATAACTAATTAATTTAACTACTTTTCATGAAATTTTGCGAACATTTCAGAATTAAATCTATTACAAATTTTCAATGTTGACAATTAGTGGCAACACGGTCAAATAGCGAGCTGCGACGTCATAGAAATAAATTCTGGGTTTTTATTTGGAGGTATTTCTTTTTTTTCTGTTTTCTCAAGAAGGACTATGAATTTTTCAAAAGTAAAAATACAGAAAATTCTGTTTTTAGTTGCTTTATCCAAATATGCCAATTTCAAAAATTAGTGAAAGAGCCCATTAGTAAGCTACATATTTAAATTATTCCAAATTGTAGGTAAACTTTTTCAACTCCTAATTCTACTTGCTCTTTGCTCTCACTATAACCATTGAAATATTTTTTTTGGTTTTTTTTCAGGAACTTCTAGATACAGTGTTAAGGTGTAAAATATGATAATCAAGTTGTAAGATCAGAATAAATAAAATTTGATTTTTCAACAAAGAAGTCGTTTCATTTTATAATCCTCACTACTATTAATGAAAAGAAGATAATTCATTAGATGGACAACATTTTGAAATTACACTGAACAAAGATAAGGAAACATTCTAAACCTAATTCAAAAAGAAAAACTCGAAAGTCTTCTCAAATAATAATAATAATAATAAAACGTCTTTATTTGCATATTCATACATTCATAATATATAATATAATATAATATATGATTCACGCATACAGAACACAGGTGGCGAAGTTTAGCCAATGGCCATTCTTCCACTCAACCATCTGTGCCCCACATTGGGCCAACATTTTAAAGGTAAAACAAAAATAACAGGTCTTGTAGCATCTATCATCTATATAGGTAACATTAGCTATTTTGTAACAATCGCTTCCTATATTCTAGTCTCAGTTTATATACACTGTATTCTCTGAATGGCAAATTAACTGAGTTCAACAGTTTTACCATACAATAAGAGAAACTTCTCTGAAATAGTGAAGTTCTGTCTGTGAAAGTTGTACCATTTCTTAAGTTTAAACTATGAACATTATGTGCATCAGCCCTACACTCTATTTTTTTATACAAATATACAGGCTCCTTACAATCTAATAATTTTTTAAAGAAAATCAATGAATATAATTTATACATATTATCACATTTCAGCCAACCAATCCGTTTAATATTAACTGACACAGAATCATATTTCCTCAAACTAAAAACAAACCTACAACATGTATTCTGTACATATTGGATTCTTTTTTTAGTGACTAAATCTAGAAATAGTTTAAAAAATTCAAAGAATTAAAGAGACCTATATGTTTCAAGATTAAAGAATCTCCTCAGCAGGGGCAAATTAGCTCAAATACAAGGAATAAACTGCCCTCCCGAATTTGTGCAAGCAATTCCTCAAACTTCCCAAAAATTCCTCCAAACTGCTCACAAATTCCTTGCAAATGCCTATTAACACGTTGACTGCCGACCACTCCGATCGGAGTTTACTGACACCAATTATTGGCGACGCCAACTAATCCGATCGGAGTTTGTGTATGCTTAATTTGTAAGTCTAATATTCAGTAGGCGTTTGCGAGAGAATGTCGCAGTCGTTCCGGCGTCCTTCTAAATGCATTTGTCCAGCACGTGTTTTAGTTGGTTACGCATTTTTTATTTTTTGTGTCGCTAAACATGGATACCAAACAAAACGAATAAAACTTAATGGCGTCCGAGAATGCCTCAAAAAATATGGTCGGCAGTCAATTTGTTAAAACCTATAGATTCCCCCAATTTCTCATACATTCCTTCAATTTCATGATCCTGGTAGCCTACTCATAGGAAAAAAGCCACCCCCCTTTTTTAACATTTCAGCTAATTTTTCCCTGATGATACATAATTATTTGTGCAACTACATATTGCTATAAGAATCCCAACTGAAATAAACGAAAAGTCACAAAATAAAACAGACACAATAATTATTTATCATTTATTTTTGGGAGCTAAGTCCGTATCACCCTTATTGGTGGGATTATCAAAATGAAATTCATAGGGTAGATCAAGGGTCCATAGAACTACTTAAATCCACCCCCAAATTTGATATAATTACTAACGGTTTTTTTCTCACCATATCATTCTATACACATTGACATGAATGGAATGCAGTAGGTAGGTATCAATTTTCATTCCAAGCAAGGTGTTTCCAAATGGGTGGGGTGAAAAAAAATTACCTTAGAACAGGCGAGTTGGGTAAATGACCAACAGCAAAGATAATTGAAATTTTTCATTTGCAACATTTTTCTCTAAAATCAACATTTTAATAGTGGCAAGTTGCATGCGTATCTTTATTAGGTACAAGTACAACTTATTCCTTGAATAACCATAAAAGATTTAGGAAAAATGTATTCTATAAAAATTAAAATAAAATAAGTAGGTACTTAAATTACAAGACAAGGTACCTACTTCATAATCTACTTTCGTTATAAAAGTAAATAGGATTGCATTCAACGCATTAATGCGTGCTAAATAAATATTAATTCGCAAATATTTAATTTAATAATTTAAATATAAAATAATGTACCTACCTATTACTTGGCATTAATTATTCTAATAACCATTTTGATTGTGAGTAGGTATGTCAAGATTGCAGTGGATTAACGAACTTTCCGAAGATGAAGTGCAAAATATAGTGGAATCTGTTGATATAGTTTTGTTTGATGTAGATGGTAAGCAGCAGCGATAATTGATTTATTTTATCAACTAAAATGGGATGTAATTTTAGGTGTTCTTTTACACAACCGAAAAGTTATTTCTGGTTCAGACAATGCGGTAATGAAACTAAGGAAACTCGGAAAAATTATTGGATTTGTCACTAACAATACACTTAAATCCCTGACAGATTTCACAAAGGCTTTAGAACCGTTTGGGGCTAAGGCTGAAGAAATAGTCAACCCCACTCAAACTTTGCTGGCCTATTTGAAGAAAATTGATTTCAAGCAAGATATTTTTGGAGTCTGTTGTAATGTTTTAAAAGAATGTTTAAGAGATGAAGGCTATAATGTTATTGATTATCAAGTGAGCACATTTTTGCAGTAAAAGACTTTGCACTTTATATTTTCTTTAGGATATCCAAAAAACACCCCTGCAAGAAACTTTTGTAGCAGTAAAAGAAATGTCCTACAAAACACTAGAAGTATGCCAAAACGTTGGATTAGTTCACGTAGACTCAGACTTTAATCGTAACTATGGCACTTTGCAAGCAGCCCAAATTATTTTAAACAATAATAAAGACGTTATTTTAACAAGTGGAGCTAGAGATGACGATCTTCCTATAGATGAAAAATTGATGGGAATTGGTTCGAAATATTTTATCGATACATTGGAGCGCTTTACTGGAAGACAGGCAATAAAAATGTCTAAACCAGACAAGGAAATAAGAGATATGGTAATTTCTAAATTTAAGATAACTGATTCTAGCCGTGTACTAATGGTAGGTGACAGGTATGGACAATAATTTCTTTTACACCTAATTTATTTTGTATTTATCTGTGATGTTTTCAGTATCCTATCAGACATAGCATTTGGCGTTGCCTCCCGATTCAAGACTCTTCTGATATTATCGGGCATTTTGCCTCAAACACAAATTGCAATTACTGATAATCAAGAAATTAAACCAAATTTTGTCGCGCATGGGCTTGAAGAACTTTACCAAAAAATAATTAATATGTGATAATTAATATGCGGTTTTATGTAAAATAAATAAAATTACATGAAGGAGACTTGATTTGATTAAATCAATGTTGAGGTTGATATGACACCTGTGTAGTAATAAACCTTCGATAAAAATTATGAGGCTTTAATGCACAAAACTTAAGCATGACAAAGTTAAGGGAATTGTGACATAAATTGGCAATTGGACCATTGGATTCCAGTAGGATACCGTAGATTCCAGTGGGATTCTTTAGTTTGCTTGATGAGTCGATGTTTTTAGTGTGTAGGTACCTTAAGTGGCGCCTGAAAACAAGACTTTTTTGTCCAGAGTCTTTGCCTTGCTAGCGTTAAAAATAATTCTAAAAATTCACAAAAAATTCCTTGGAATTCCTCGAGAAATTCCATCAGATTCCAGTAGAATTTCGTGGAATTCCAGTAGGATACAGTAGAATTCCAGTAGGATATCGAGGGATTCCGTTAAAAGTGGGATTCTGGTGAACACATTTTTCAAGGCAGTTTAACCCTGGGACAGGACTATGTATAGGTCATTGAGCTAGTGAACGCATTGAGCAATTTACGCTGTATAAAGTGTGTGATACCTTCAAGTAGCTGAGTATATACTTTATTCTACTATGGTCTAAGGCCTTTTCTGCATGATCATTTGAAAAACATGCCAAACTTAAAATAATATGGTACTACGATATAAGATATCGTTTTATTTAAATTAATTTCATAGTAGGATAAAGTATATACTCGCCTACTTGAAGGTATCACACACTTTATACAGCGTAAATTGCTCAATACGTTTACTAGCTCAATGACCTATACATAGTCCTGTCCGAGGGTTAAACCACCTTAAAAAATGTGTACACCAAAATCCCACGAAATCCTACTGGAATAAATTGCAGCCTGTCTTTGACTCATCATCACTCACAAGCCAAGTGGTTGCCCAGAGTTATAGATTAAAATAAAATCACTAAATGTTCACACAATAGTTTTTATTTGTAGATGTCGATCTGTATACTACAATATGGGTAATTATATTTTAATATTAATTATTATTATTGCAGACCCTTGCCGCAGTTTTCTCATTGATAATCAGGACAAACTATAATAATACCAGTACATTTACAAGCACCACAGCATGGGCCTTTAAAAATGATTAAGTTATAAGATAGGTATAGATACATGCATAGTTGCCTTTAAAATACCGTGTACAATAAATATAAGAATATATTATTTACTTCAAAAAGGGTAAAATATTATTACCTAAATATAATTTCCCTAAAACACAAATGAAGGGAATAAAACTTGTTTTTTATACATGAAAACATTTCGATTAAAAAATTTGGCAAAAACCCTATGTAACATTAAATGCACCCTACCTACTTATACCCTACTAAACATTTATAAATATGTCCAATAAAGTAATAATAGTAATAATACAGAGATAATAAAGTTTCAGGTTATTGCAATATATTAACGTAAAATAGTTTTTTTTTTGTTGGAAAGTGTACACCACAAGTTGAGATTCATTTATTACTGACATATTATTACCTACTTATTACAAACAATTTCTGTTTTACATCCTAATACCTGTGACGTCACTCTCGGAAAGTTAATTGCGATTCTTGTTCCTTTGGTTTAACAATAAAAATACAGTAAAAAACAAACTAAACTACGGAAAGTGAAAAAGTGTAACAAATCAGTCTGTGAAAGTGAACACATGCAAATATTTTTTTTGAGAAAAAGTGTGTAGGTATAGAAAACATGAGAGTCATATATAGCATATGGCTCCATCTGCCATTAGCAGGGATTAGTTTACTTATTAATTTTGTTTAATAAATAAGAAAAATATAAAAATACTTTTGGGCCTATATTCTAATTTTGTTTTTGTTTTTATGGTTTTCTTTTATGAAGAAAATTTAAAAAATCTAGTCAGGAAATATGTATATTCAAAAACAAATACATACATAAGAACATTAATTAAGCATTGCATCAATGTGCATTTGCCAAAACCCATTGAAAAATATGCCATTTTTCATCTATTCTTTGGCATTATAACTTTGTAATATTAAATTAGTAAAAAATACAAAACAAAAATCACAACCATAATAAAATACCCTTAAAAATTGACTACAAAGAACAACGAAAAGAAAATTATGAAAATGCTGGGTCCCTTTTAAAGTATCATTTTCTTTGCTCTGTGCATCCATTTTTTCCTCACCACTAACATTAACACAAGCTTCGACGGATTAATTGGAAAACTTATAACTAAAAAATGTATGGTAAACAATAACGTGACTTTATGAATATTATACCGTTGTGCAGATAAATATGCTTATTATTTTGTTTGTTCAGGTCGTTTACACTGTTTCGTATTCTTTGCGAATGTTTCTTGCCAATGCACAAGCGAAGCAAATTCCAAATACCTAAAAGAAAAAAATTACAAAATTTGTTTTTTCTCATTTACGTATTATAAGTTGATTGAAGGACACCAGATGCATATGAACTAGGTAGATCACTACAAATCGAGGCTTAAAACAAATTCCCCTATTACAAATTAAAATTCTGATTTTATCATTTGTCTGAACAGTTTATTGAACTAATTTATTGAGAAGTTGCTTTGTAGGGGGAAAGAAACAAGCACTCGACTAGATCGGCAAAATGCCAGCGGTCGAATGTGGAAAATTATAACTTAATTGTCCATACTGCTTGTGATTGAATAAAATAATTTAGAATATTCTTACCTGAAAAGCAGAAATTCCCAGTCCGGCTGCTCCAATGACCGAAGCATATTTGATGAGCAGGGTTTTCAATTTGTCAATACAAGACGCCTGGTAGTGTTCAGCGGCCATGGTACAGCTACCGTCGTTTTGAGCATTTGGGCAGCAAGTGTGGGGCAGAGAGTTGTTGTGATTGACCAAATGCCAGTCATCTGGGCCGTTCATTCCGCAACATTCCAACTAAAAATAAAATATCAATGGATTATTTATTTTTTCCAGATTTTTGAGAGAGAATTCAATTTTTATACAACATTATTATTAGCGATAATATTTGAATGTACTTATATAATATTATTCTGTTTCCAATAACCATAAGCAAGGATGAGTGAAATTATTACATTTAACAACATTTTTCACATTCGCAAGCATAATAAACGATAGTTTTCTTTTGAAAGTAGAGCATCAGTCTGTCAGGGTTACAATTTCTCTTGAGTCATCTGAGAGATCAAGGTCCAAGGTGTTGCTAGTGGAAGAACCAGAACCAATAAATTGTAACATATAAAACACGCATTCAATAATGCTTCCTGGGAGTTCAAACTTTTTTAATAATCATTCATGAGATGAGAACAAAGATGCCATTATACAGACTAAAACATTGACCTGACGTTAATTAGTTAAACTGAGTATAAATTCATACAATTCAGTGTTAATGTTTTGTCGTCTGGGAAAATTAGGATGCGAAAGTGTCCAAAGTGGTAAATCATAAAATATGATTGTATTAAAGCAACATGACCAAAATTTATAATTCACAACTAAATGTGAGGATCGATAAATAATACATAATTTAAGTCGTCAATAAGTAGTTTATTTGAAATGGTTGACCTAAAACCTGGATATTGATTCTCTTGAATAAATTATGAACATTTTGAGGTTGTTTGAATTTTCAAGAGACATTTACTTCACTATAAATAAATATTGCATTGTGCTTAAGTCCCACCTACAAAGAAAATACGAGCCACTAAAATACATTTGGATATAAAATTAGACAAACACTTTAGAGAATAGGTGCGCCAAACCGAAAGAAGGTCATAACAAATTCCTAGATAATTTTTCAACCCAAAACATCGTCAACAAATCGATTTCCTAATTTTATTCGTCCTCTTAATGCTGTTTACACTACGAAGGAGATCTATTTAAAATATCTCATAAATTTATATTCCCCGGAAAACAACTCCGTTGAGAACTGGAATAGATAGATGCTGGCTTTTGTGCATGTGTTACCTCTTAATTATCATGGCGCGTAGAAAGCTGAGAAAGGTTGATATAAAAATAAACTAAATCGGACAGTATTTCTGGAATTTAATAACTGAATAATTCAGGTCTGTGTTTATTTTTAATACATTCAAACATCATAATAATAAAAAAAATCGATTCTTCAAGTGTTGAGTAGGTACAAAGTTGTATTTTATTGTTGAAAATCAAACTTGATGACATGATTATATCACATTTCGAAATACAAGGATTTCAGTAGAGATGTTAGAGAAGCTTTAAAAGTTGTCAGATAGGGAGCTGAATACAAAATTTCCTACGGAAAAGCAACAGATGTCACAAATACCAAATCATTTCCATTTTCACCCTTGTGCTTATTCGAAATTCGAATCAATATCAAATTGAACGACTTTACAGCAAATACATAATTTATTTGTAAGCTCTATTAAATATAAATAAAATCGATAAACTGGCATTACGTTTTACGTAGGTCAGAACCTATTATGGAGCAATAATATTGACCTGACACATCAAGAAAAGGTGATGAGGTTCGCGACCTGAAGATAAATTAAGCAAATCCAATCAATTGCAACTATACAGTCCACAATTAAGCTCTATTTTTTTGGAATCAGCGCATAAATGACAAAGTTAAAAAAATTGAATTGGAGTAGATACTTATAATTTAAATTTAATTCGGAAAATGACAGCATAGAATTATTGAATTGTATTTTTAGTTAGCTGGAATTGGGAATCTTCTTCGACCCATCTACAGCACTTAACACTCTTAACTTTGTTTTTCTTTTTGAACAAAAACTCTATCGTATATTTTGTACTGGCTTGAGCAGGACTTATTTTGTATTGCACACGAAAATAATAATTCCTAGAAAAGTTAATAAGAATAGGTATTTATTTGGTGTTTATATGATGCAACAAATCCAGAAATACCCTCCAAGTTTCAAAATTAACTTTTATTGTCATACTGTTACCCAATACCCCATGCCAAAAATAGCATGTTATTCCTAAGATCTCGCACCTTTAACCTTTAAATTAGCCCTAATTAGGTTGCTGAATGGGACAATTTAAAAAGATTAAACGCTTTAAGCCGCTATAACAAAGCCAGTTGACACTTATATTGGCTGTTAAACGATGATGCCTTGATTTTAAATGTTTACTATTCAGATTTATCTTGAAAAATTTAAAAACTGAAAATGTTTCTTATGTTATATACCATCACAGCATCAAAATCAAACAAACTCACAGCAAGTAGAATAGTTAAAAGTTTAGTTGCAAAAATTGCCTCGCGATTAGTCAAATTTTTAATTAGTTTGTTCCAAAAGCAAAACAGACAACAATTATTTGAGTATACCCACCGAAAGATATCAATGGTGCATTGTTTACCTAAAATTAAAAAAAGACACATATTGGTTTATTTTTATATAATTCTATTTCAGACCAACTGCAGGTATGATTAAAAAAGAACGACATTTCTATACTATTTTAAATCTACTAGTTTTTTTATTGGAATGATGAGACATCCCACATTTCGAAAGATTTGTGATGAAATTATTTTTATATTCAGCTCTCGGCAGTTCCCGGTGTACTATTTAATGAAAGATGATACCTATTAGATAGGTATAATATATTTTCATATGCATTTAAATTTATTCAAAAATCATGATTTTGTTGAATAGAAAAAAATTAATTAAATTTAAGCTCAGAAGTGGCTGTATAAGACAACGGAATTCGTTCTGAAAATATGTGTAATTAACAAACACAAATTCCTAAATGGCCTATTTTCATTATCACAGGTACCTAGTTTTAAAATACACATTGGATAAGTAAATATTTTTTCTCATGGCTACCATAAAATAAACATGCACTGGTTTTAAGTTACCATAAGCATATTTTTAGATAACAACAATACTGTTGTTTTGTAATCTTAATTGTGGCAAGGAAAATAATGATTACTACCACATTACACCTCATAAAAGCTTCCTTTGTTTAAATGCATTGATGTATTTTTATTCGATTTGTCATGAATCCATATTGATATGACAACCAAAATTCCACTATGCACGAAATAATGTAGCAGCCCATTTCAACAGTTCATTTAATAGCCTGAAATCCCTGGCTTGTATGGAGTTGATTATCCAATTAAAATTCTTCGCAGGGACATGTCAGTTTCCTGTTTAATTTTTTGTGAAAATTTTCTCAGAAAAAAAAGTGAATATAATAATAATTAGCATAGTCCATATATAAACTATAAAACTCATAAATGCAAATAATTTGAATCTATACAAAAAATTATGATTTATTCCCAAATATGTATAATATTTGTCACAAATACAGCTCTCCTCCTGGCTATTATATGACCATAATATGCAAAAATATCGACAAAGCTCTACAGATTTAATTCTCCACGAAATAAATGACTTGATCGTCAATAATTTTATAATTGCAAATAAATTGACTTCTATATTGTTGCATGGTTACTGTTACGTTTTTGAAAAAAAAAATAGCACATTCATCAAAATAATCTTACCTCGTGTTGAGCAATATCCCAAGTCCTCCTTATATCGCTGTTAGTGTAGTATTTGGGCATTGTAGAATTCAATTTATTTTCCAGCATAACTTCGACTTCATTACGGTTAATATATCCAACCACTCCGGCGGCAATTTCAGTAATCAATATTAATCCCATGAGAACTGAGAACTAATAAAAAAATACATTTCAAGTTAATTAAAAAATGTATAATTAAAATATCCTAGCAGTAATTAGATTGGTCATGAACTGGAACATAATTATAGACACGAAAATTAAATGTAACCTTTGAAAAATTCATGGTCAAATGTTATAATTATCTTACCGTCACAATCATACAGTGGTTTTCCTTTACAGCTCCGCAGCATCCAAAGAATGAGATCAAAAATATGACCACCCCTACAGTCATCAAAATTATAGGTGCCGCTTGATAGCTTGGATAAATGAAGTTCGAGTACTGATAGTAAATGTGGAGGTGGGCTATTACTCCAACTACTAGTATTGCCAAACCTGAAATCTATAGACACAAAAAAAATTATTCTTTAAGCTAATAGAAAAATTTGTGCGAAGATCAAGCTTTAAAATTTCACAACATGGCGTGAAGTGGAATTCATGATATTCTTTATCAGTCTACCTTAAATCTCAACAAAAGCATTATTAAACCAATCAGGTTATGTGTAGCAAATTTTCCCAATATTGATGTGAAATCAAAGCAGATGGATATTTTTTCGTTCATTTATATATTTGATATTTGATGTATGTAATTAGAATCATACAAGGTCAACTTTTGGGGTTTTAGGTGCTTATCCTGAATTCTACCTTATAAAACAAGTTTTTTTTTTTTATCGCAGGAGTTTGGCTTATTACTTTTAATGATTCCAATTCATAATAACCTTAGACTAAGAAAAGAGAAAATGGAAAAGTTTTCCGATTGCCCACTAACCATTATTAATATGAAACATCGCTATTGTGCTTTTTCTTCAATTGTTAAGTACAACACAAAATGATGATGATAATTTTTTTTCAAATTACATATTTTTTCCAGCTGGTTTTTATTGTAATTATAGAACAATTTCTCGATTTTTGTTATTACCTACTTCATTATTACCTACATTTAATGTTCGGCAGGAAAAATATAATTATTGTGCTGCTGGGTAGGTAGTAAATTAATTAAATAATTCCGTTCAAAATATGTATTTATTTCAACTGGACATTGGCATGGAAAATTAGGTGCAATTACTAATTATTATGTGAAAAATAGAAATAATATTAATGCAATTTAAGAAAAAGCGATGTTTAATTTAAAATTATTATTATGAAAAAATACCTACAAGCCCTCTAGATTCTCATTGAAATCTATGGGTTTTTACAAGTAACTAAACAAGAAACAAGCGAAATTTAATATATATTTTTTTTTATGCCTAAATATTGCTCTGAAGTACATAGGCTATTTCTTAGCAGTATGCCAAGAAATTAGTATTTTTGTTTAGGTTCTTATTACTTAAATTTTTAATCAGAATTTATTTTCATGACTGGCTCCTCCAGTAACTCTTATTAGTTACTTTTGCTTGTAGTTGGACTTTTTCTGTTTTTTTATTACATATGTTATGTATGGAATAATGTAGTTAGGACAACTTTTGTCAAAAAATATATATTGTATTTCTGATAATAAAGTTTTCTTTTGAATTCGAATTGAATTGTACCTATCAGGTATTTTTGTATTACATAATATTCAAGATACAGGGTGTTTTCTTATATTTTGACCACTACCTACAGCTTCAGGTATACGAGGTGGAGAAAAACTGTAAATATGAATGTTGTAGGGTTTTATGTCTATTATCTTTTGCGAATGTCAAAACGGGCAAATGACAAGTGCCAACTGTCACAATGACAAACACTTGCATTTTTCAAATGGAACACCCTGTATATTTTTGGCTAGAATTATATCTTTTTTTTTTCTGATTTTAAATATACCATATATGTTGATATTTGGTCGAGTATTTGGTTCAGTTGTTTTTGCGCCATTTAATTTTAAAATTGCATTGAGCAAGCCTCATCATTGATAGAAGAAACCAGGACAGATTGAATTAATGTAAATGCATTTTTAAACTTGAATAACGTAAAAACAGCTGAACCAAATATCAACATATATGGTATATTTGGAATCAGAAGAAAAAAATCTATCATTCTAGCCAAAAATATACAGGGTGTTCTATTTGAAAAATGCAAGTGTTTGTCATTGTGACAGTTGGCACCTGTCAATTGCCTATTTTGATATTCACAAAAGGTAATAAACATAAAACCCTATAACTTTCATATTTAAAGTTTTTTTTCACCTCGTATAGCTGAAGCTGTAGGTAGGGGTCAAAATATAAGAAAACACCCTGTACATAATTATAACATGTCTAGATCACCTATACACGGTATCTGGAAATAAATGAAACAAAATCTGTTCAAAAATTCTTTAAAAAAAAATAGGCGACCCATATTTTTAATTTTTGGTAAATGGCCCAACCCTTTCAAAGTTACAGCCCCCTAAAATTTGCTCCTAAGAATAGTAGGTATATCTTTTTTTTTTCAGAACCCTGTTGTAGGAAAATCAGTTTGGTACACAGGGGTTTTATGATATGAAGAACTAGATGGTGCTACGTTATTAGGCGGAAGACTTCCTTAGGACACTTTTTTGTGGGCCCCTGTCTTTGGAGCCTCAAAACTTTGGTTGCCTATTTGATAATAATACTTTATTGTCAAAATACATTAATACAAAGTTTGTAGACGAAGCCTGGAGATTAAAAATATATAAAATTATATACCTGCATCTACTTGTATACAAAGTTAAAACAAATTAACCATAAATAATAAATTATGATCAAGTGTGTGGAGCCCTCAAAATTATGTGTTCAGAAAAAAGTAATTTATTTTATATAAGGCTCTCTCTAACAAATATGATTTTAGAGCTATGCGGAATTTAGGAAGAGATGCTATGGACTTGATTACTACTGGCAAATGATTGTGCATTTTTTTTTTGTGTTGTACAGAATCGAGCTCTTAATTAACTTGGAGGATGGGGATGGCAAATAAAGATCATCCTCCGCGTTTCTAAGTGAATAGTAATGGAAGGGCCTTTCTGAAATACCGAGCAGGTGTTTGCGGATTAAGCAGAATTATTCTAATATAAATCGGGAGTGTTGATATTTTATATTTTTTGAAAAAATCTTGGCAATGGGCTCTAGGCTTTAATCTGAGAGAAAATTGAATAGCTCTTTTTTGTCATTTAAAGAAATGCTCAAATTGAGTCGCACAGCACGTACCCCAAAATAGAAAGGCGTATCAAAGATGTGATTCGAAAAGGGCAAAGTAGTAGACTGTTGATGACAGGTTAAATTCCTTGGAAACTGATTTTATCGAATCACAAGCGGAACTCAATTTTTTGGATAAAGAATCGATGTGCGAGCTCCATTCCAGGAAATTGTTTATAATAAGGCCCAAAAATTTTATAGAATCAATGATGTGTTTTAAGTAAAGTGGGTTGCAACTTGCAACATACTTTTATATGACAGAACTTCAGTTTGCGCAAAGTTGAATCAGAAGAGGTTAGAGTCGCACCATGATCTAATAGCAAATAAGTCGTTGGACATGGTTCTATGCAGAGCTGCAATATCTGGGTTGCTCCAAGTGAAACTAGTATAATCAGCAGTAAGACTGATTTTAACGCGTCTAGTAATGTCGTTGAGAAACACCAAAAATATAAATTGAATTTTCAAAAAAATATTATTCATTTCTCGATTCATTTAGAAGGCCCATCCAATTTAGAACTCTTTTCGTCAAACACATTATTTTCAAGAAAAATAGCAAAATGTGATTGGATGCGTATCAAGATTTCACAGATAACATAAAATCCGTGAGTACTAGTGTTGGATATTATTCTACAAAAGTTGTTGAAAATGCACGCCTCGACTCCTCTTTTCATTGATGTTGGTAGGTACTTACGATTAATCTAAAAGAATATAAATAAACTTCGTGATTTACATTTTTAAATTTTTTTTTTGAAAAATATCAATAGAGTTACTTTCCGGTAATCCACTTGATTTATTAATTTTAAAGGGGGTGTGACCCAAAAATGAAAGTTTTAGGGCAAAAAAATCTAATGCCGGTTTTCCACCAAACAGACAAAACTGGAGACAAAACAAAGACAAAACCCAAACTCAAACTTTTCTCAGACATTTCCAAGACTAGCGTGTTTCGAGACAGTTGGAGTTTTGTTTCCCCGAGAAAACATAACGTAGTCTGCTTGATGGAAACAAGAATTTTGTGTTTATTTCAGTTTTGTTTTTGTTTTAAAACATAGACAAAACACAAACTCAATAGTCCGTTTAGTGGAAAACCGGCATAAGGCTAAGTATTTAATCTGCATCTTGCTACAATGAACCGTTTTTGAGTTAGGGCGGCTTAAAGTGACAAACGCCTAGGATGTGACGTCACACCGGCTTCGGAGGCAAATTTTACCAGGTGTAATAAAAGTCAACGATCTCACTTAGAACGAATTCCAACTACTTAAAGTATGGGGCACGGTTCACTGACGACTAAACAAACAGAAGGGTGCTATTTCAGCGGTAGGCCGGTCTGACGTCGCAAGTTCCTGCATAATTTATCTTCATAAGGGATTTTCTGGGAAACTATTCTGATGAGTATTTTGAATATAGGACTGCCGTTTTCACGAGGGATCTTAGATTTTTTTTCTTGATTTAAGAAGCTTAATTTGTTTTTTTTGGGTCACACCTCCTTTAAGCAGTAAAATCTCGAGTAAAATTAACCTTTTGCCAAAACAAACCTGACAAGTCTCAATGAGAGGCAATTGAGGGAACACATATCAATTTATATGAGCTTTTAGTCTTTTAGTTATAAAATAAGCCAAGTTATCTCCTTCAATAAAAGGCATAACATAAGTACTTATTTAGGAACACTCAAATTGACTATTTTTGTCGAGGTAGGTAGGTAGTAGAAAATTCTCAATGAAAATTATAGTGGAAATCATTGCCAATTTTTGAATTGGCAACCATTTCTAGAATACCAAGCTGTGGATATACTTATACTAGGTAGGTACCTCCTACATACCTAATGTCTTTTAAATACTCTACTCACTTAATTAGGTACTTCTCTCTAAATATACTTTGTCTGGAGAACATAATTATATTCTGATTGATAAAGCTTGTGTTATAAAATGGTTCATTATGTTATTTTAACACTGAGCACTAAACCAAAACATAAAATAACTGAACATTAAAAAAAAAAAAAATCCCACCAAAACAAATGCAAGTGCTTGGAAATGGTGAAGTCTCCCTGATGTTATTAACTTGATTGCCTATAAAGAAAAAAAAGAAAAACAACAAAAAAAGACTGAAAAACAATACGCTGTGTCTAGAATCCCGGTACCGGTAACACATTTTTTACCAGTAGTTCTGATGGCGTCATCGATATGACGCACTTGTACCGGGATTTAAGTAAATCCCGGTGTTTTGATTTTGTTTTTATCGTTATTTATCAGCTGATTGGTATTTTAGGTTAATTTATTAATGTTTTCGTCACTTTTTTGAAACAATTCAAACTATAAAAGTTAGTTTAGGTTCGAAATACCTTATATAAATGATTTGCATTCGGAAATGTCGAACAACTCATCCCAGATTAGAAGTAATCTGCAATCGGATGATAGTAAACTAGGGTTGTTATTCCCGAAAACCCCTGCGAATTTAAACGAATTTGAAATGATGTCACTTTATATAGCAGTTTATAATCGGATTTAATAGATATTTATTAATTTTCTTCAAGCAATATAGGTAACTATACTGTTTAGGATGTAAATTAAAATGAATAGGTATCTCTCATTTTTTATTTATAAGTTTACAATCAGAACAATAGGTACCACATTTTGGGTATTTAACACAAACTGGCACATTTCACATGTCAAAGTCTCTTCAACTTCTTTATAACTTTTAAATGTTTGTCCTACATTAAAAACCATTTCAAAAGTAATTTTACGTTGATAAACTCACGAAAACACTCCACTCTACGTTAACACATCAACAAAACAAGTTAAAAACATGAAAAGTTAGGTTAAGTTGGACTTTGATAAAACAAAAACCGCCAACGACTAAATTTTTTACCGGGATTTGCTTGAATCCCGGGTACCTAGTTCGTCATATAGGTGACGGCATCAAAACTACCGGTAAAAAAAGTGTTACCGGTACCGGGATTCTAGACACAGCGAAAACAATAATGAAAATATTGAAAATACAACATTGGTCATTGAAAAACTCTGTCACACTACGCATTTACAGCTAATTTGATTTTTTTTATCTGTCTATGGGGTTTTCAGTGAAACAAAGACAAAGCTAATAGGTATAATATTGCAATTGTTCTCTGGCAAAGTTAAAATCTTCAGTTTATGGATGAACCCAGAACCGCTGTTTGAACTTGAATATTGTTCTAAGCTAATTTTTATTCAAAAAAATTAGCGAAGAGTTAATTGTTTATAACTCCGACAGGTTTGTTAGATACAAGAAACTTCATTTTTATCTGCCTTGCTTTCAACAACAGCTAAAAAATCAGCTAACATTTGCAGATATAAGCAGAAAAATATATTTGTAGTAATAATAAGTTACTTCAAAGAACATTTTGCCAAGTTTGCACCTGATAGAATACAGGTTCTTATGTTTGCGTTTCAAACAATTTTGACAAAAAGTTCAAATAAAATATTGCCTAATAAATTTAAAACTTACCGCGAACAACAGGTTGAAGCAAAACAGCAAATATTTGACACAGGTCATCCCGCCCGACACCATTTTCCTTCAGTTTTCCCTAAATTACCGAATTTCCTCAATCAACTGGAAAAAGGGTGAACCTATAATATACAGGTCAATAAAAGCCCCTTCGATTTAGAACGAACTATCTCGTTTTTCTAATGACAACGTATAGAATTTCGCTTTTCACCGGAAAATATAAGGTTTCCCCGTCTCTCCGGACTGTCCCTATTCACGGAATTAAATAATACAATGCAATTCAAAACGCGATCGTCACAAACAAGACCTCGTAACAGCGAATAACAACACTCGTAGTCGTATCCAACTAAATTAATAAACTGAGCGCGCGCATACAAGAGCGCATGCAAGTTTCGATTAATTTCCCCCGCTTTTCCTATTTTTCCTATTTTCTTCAATTCCTCCCACACTTCAATCGGTCTATCCCAGAGTACACAGACCATGGAGAAATTTAAAACATTTTAATAAATGGCGAAAGCGGAAGGAAAGTTTGTTTTGACAGTTATGATGACCTAAGGGTGAAAATAGGTGTGAAAGCTCGGACCCTGTCCCTCACTTTTATGGCAACCAAACGCACATGCCTCCGTTTGTAAATTCAAGCCTGGCATGACAAACCGTCAAACCCATCAAAAAAGTTCTAGTGGGGTATTTTGTTGTTGATTAGATACCAGCATATTTTTAATTTTTTAGCTTTTGAAAATTTCCAGAAAATTGCCGAAAATGCCTACTTGATATCAATCTAGCATGACAACCGTTTAAATATTTTCATAAACGGAAAATTTCTAATGCAGTACTTATTTGTTATTTGTTACTAATAAGTACCTGATTAGTTATATAGCATACTTTTTAATTTTTTTGCGAAATAATGTCGAAAATAAAAGGATATTATGCGTTAATATGCTAGTTTGAAACCTGAAAATGATAAATAGTTACAAAGTACCCAAAAATCTGGCGTGGGTTCGTGCGAACAGAACAAAAATTCACCTATTTATTCGAACACTTTTTATTGTAGAAAATTGAATTTACTGTCGAAATATGTTCTTAAAAAATTTCTTTGCAGATTTTTGTTGATTTATTCTACCTAATTAAGTTATTTATTATTTATATGTCATTAGATCAAGAAGTGCGTCTTTTTGTGCTGAGCTCAAGGTTTGAAAGCCGAAGCCGACAGAAGCCTACAATTAAGCGAAGAAGTCTTTTATAGGCCGAATGGCATGCATTATTTTATCTTCAAGGGAATGCAATGTTTCCTTTCACAACTTAATCACTGCATTTTTCATCCTTTTTCGGAAAAGGGATGCCACTAGGCCTTTTTAATGGAAACGCTGATCCGATTAAAGGCCGAGACACAGTTGTCATACACCGCTCCGATCGTACTCCGGTCCGATGTTGCCCCAAGAATCGAATCGGCGCGGGATCAGAAAGGGGTGAGCACACATTAGATCTGTTCCAACCCGCGAAAAAACTGTCCCAAGAACGGTTTCGGAACCACTCTGTCTAAGCATTCTGTATACCAATTTCGGATCTACGCACAAATTATCCGTCTTGCGCAGAATCCTGACGGTGAAATGTACGGTTTCCTCAAGGCGGTTTCCTGATGGGTTGGAACAAAGCTATACTCGTTACCGGCTTCTTTCCAATTTCTGGCTCGTTGCACTCGTCACTCGCCATTTTTGATTCGAAGAATACATATCGCGGAGGTCCTGTGTGCAAAATGTTCAAACATTCTAGCAACTGCGAGTTAGCCATGGGGGCACTTTGTTCACATAAAGAAAATCTGAAATCTTTTGACTTTTATGGAGAACAACGGAACACGCAGATTTTGGGCACATGCTCCTCGGAAAAGAAGAACAATTTTCCACATTTTTCCCTCACAGCCGTAGTTTTTTTAAATTTTAGCAAGACACCGAAAAACTTGAACACACACCATGCGACACGGTGGTCCCGGAGCTGGAAAACGAATAGATTGCACGATCGGACCATGATCGGATGCATGATCTTAAGGCCGGGGACCTTTGATGCATCCTTCCGATCATACAATCAGACAAGTGTCTGAGAGGGAAATGCAATGGTACTACACTTCAAACAATTGCTTGGTGTTTGTTTTAAGTTTTTCGCGGTGTCTTGCTAAAACTGGAAAATTATAGGTTCGTTCCAACCCCCCGTTTTCGTATCGTCATGAAACGGTTTCGGAACTGTTAGGATCGATTGCAGGCGCATGCGTTGACCTTGCACGGTTTTATCTTGGTACAGAAACAACGGGTAGTTGGAACGGTTTCATGATCGTTTTCGTAATGACGACAGTTCAAATAACTTTAACCCTAAATTTGTTTGTTTGCAAATTAAAATAGAAGAATATAGGATTAGGATTACAAAATAATATATACAAAAGGAAAATCGAACACCAACGCTGATTCATTATTATCAAGAATCTAAAACTGAATCCTTGCAAGCTGATAACATCAAGGATTAGCAAATAGCTGATAATAAATTTTGTACTTTTTTTCACTTGAAAAAAATAAAAATGCTACAGTTTTATAAGTTAGATTGGAAATTGGTTGTTTAACAACAACATGAACAACAACAGGTGACAAAAATTGAATTACGCATGTCAGTCATGAATCAGTCCACGCGGTTCTTGCTTTCCACTCGGGATCGAAATGACGCTGCTAAAACCAGTTCTCGAACGATCCCAGGTTTGGTTGGAACGCCAACGAAACTGTACGGTAAACGATCATCTCTCGGTTGGAACGCGTTTAACCTATGGCGCATGACCGTGACCGTACATTGAACGGTTTTTGGCTGGGTTGGAACGAACCTTATGGCTGTGGGTTGCAGATTTTTGTTTTCCGAGTAGCACGTACTCAAAATCTGCGTTTTTCGCTGTTCTCCATGAAAAAGCTCCGATTTTCTCTATCTTCTTCTAAACAAAGTGCCACCATAGCCAAATCGCAGTTGCTAATAAGATTTTTGAACATTTTACACGAAGGACCTTTTGCGATATTATTTGAATCAAGATTGGCGTTGGCGAGTGCAGCCGGAAATCGGAAATAAACCGGAAACCAGTATGAAGACCGGGTCACACCTATTATGCATTCTTCCGATCATACAATCGGACGAGTGTCTGAGAAGGGAATGGTTCTACACTTCAAACAACGTAGTCCACACCTTTTCAGCACGTGCCCATTTCCACTCCCACCCGACTCCGATCCTGCATCCGATCATGGTCCGATCGTGCAATATCTATTCGTTTTCCAGCTGCGGGACCACGTGTCGCTTGGTGTTTGTTCAAGTTTTTTGTGGTTTGCTGAAATGGGAAAAAAAGACTGCTATGAGGGAAAAGTGTCTCTCCTTTTGCAGATCTTCATTTCCTAGCAGCATGTATACCCAAAATCTGCGTTTTCCGCTATTCTCCATAAAAGATGTTCGATGTTTTCATCTAAGTACTTACTTTTTTCAAACAACCAGGACTGAATCGCAGTTGCTAAAATTTTTGAACATTTCGCACACAAGACCTGCGATATTATTGTTTGAATCAAGAATGGCGAGTGGCGAGTGTAACGAGCTGGGACCGGAAGTCGGAAAGAACTAGGAAACGAGTATGACAGTGTGATCACCCCGTTCCGATCCCGCACCGATCCGATTCTTGAGGAAAAATCGGACCGGAGTGGAATCGGAGAGGTGTATGACAAGTGTGTCCCGGCCTTGACGTATGCTCACCCCTTTCCGATCCCGCACCGATCCGATTCTAAGGGCAACATCGGATCGGAGAAGTGACAAGTGTGTCCCGGCCTTTTTAAAGTCGGGTGGTGGAAGTGGGAATAGGCACTTGACGGAAAGGTGTGAACTACGTTGTTTGAAGTGTAGTACCATTGCCTTCTCAGATTCGTCCCATCCGATTGTATATGATCGGAAGGATGCATCATAGGTGTGTCCCGACCTTAACTCGATCACAGGCTGTTGGTTTTCTATATTTCTCCAATAAACACGAAAAAAAGAGAAATTACAGCAGCTGGTGATCGGGCGAATCGGAACAGCGTTTCGGTAAGGGCCTACTATAATTTACGAGATACCTATGTCATCTGTTTGCTTCAAATGTCATATCAATATTAGGTCACTCGGAACGCATTTCACTGCTCAGGACATGAACGCTCGTGTGAAGAAGCTGACACATCAAGTTGATGATTATTGATTATTCGTATCTATTTGATTATTTGATCAATAATTTATTCCATAATATTGTAAAAAAGAACAAACTTTGTTTATTTTTTCTTTGACTTAAGCAGCGTGAATCATTGAAATTTATTTCAGTTGATTTTACATTTTTGGCTTGCTAGGAGGCAGTGTAACGACCAAGTTCGGAAATTATCTGCAAGAGCATAATTTATTCATAATTTGTCCGCTTTACATTTTTTGTTCTTCAAAATTATGGATTAAATCATTGCATAAATACAGAACGAGTATAAATATGATATGGATACCTTATTCACGTTTATATTTACACGAGCCTCCATGAGCTATTGATTTGACATTTGAAGTAAACAGATTTGACTTACCTCGTCCTCGTAAATTTATACTGGGCCGAGTTCAGAAATAACGCACAGGGTGCGAGTGTCATTTTATGGGTGTGGCTGAATTGAAAATTGGCCATTGGGCCCATAGCACCGTCTATCATTTTTGAACAGCTAGGGCGTCGCACCGGTGTCACACTCACACTGGGTGTGTCATACCTGAACTCGCCCCCGGCAGTGGCAATTGTAACCTTGAGCTGAGCACAAAAAGACGCACTTCTTGGCCTAATGACTTAAATGTCTTATCGGAATTAAAAAAAAAAAACGTGAAAAAACTTAAATTTTGAATTTTGTTTTTCCGTTATTCCAAGTACAAACTAAAAATTTGATAAGATATACAGTCGTGAGCATAAAAAGTGGGACACCCGTTTTTTCCTATTGTGAAACGCGCTCATCAGCTATACCTACGGCAAATTGCCGTAGGTATTGCTGATGAGCGGCAATGACAGGGATTGTCATTTTTGACAAAAAATCCATTGTAGAGAAAAGACCGATTTACCCAAAATAGCGAAAAATGACAAGACCTGTCAGTCGGGTGTCCCACTTTTTATGCTCACGACTGTACTTCGATAGGAAATTGAATTTTCTTCGAAAAAGTATTTTCAAAAAAAAAATCTACTTTGTTTTCGAGTTATTTCGAAAAAACTTAAAAGACAAATTGGGTGAAAAAAACTGAGAAATTTTCCCTTTAGTTTGTTAGTGCTATTGCTATAAAAACTCGAAAA